TTGTACGGGGACTTGACCTTGTCCTTGTGAGGATGAATCGCACAGCCCTGTGGCAGGCAAGGGGCACAGCCCGATGGACATCAGAAAAGCCCGACAAACACATGCTGCTTCGTGCCATCCACACAAGACAGATGAAAGCAAGAACCACCAGGGGCTGTTTTACTAGCACAAGCTGCAACAGCAGATGTGTTTTTGGATGCCTGCGATCTATATGTCAACACATATCACTGCCTACAGCAACCCCAAGTCAAGATTGCCGGCAGACCCGAGGCGCCCCCGATCTGTGCCCACGCGGACCTGCGTGGAGTTTCGTTGATGAGGGGAGGCTCGGCTTTCAAGGTGTGGCTGCAGACTGCAGCCAGACTCTGCGAGTGTCTAGGCATCATGACGTGCGGGCACATGTTGCCTTTCAACAGGAGTGTTTTGAGTGTTTTGCTCAGGATGTCAGGAGGGCATGTACTCAATGTTTCCAGTTTGCGGCTGCAATTTAAAGGAACGATGGCAGAGCAGTCATACATGGATTGCATTGGACAAGTTGCACTTAAGATCACTTAAGCATCTGGTGATCTGCGGGCGTCACGGTACGACATACCGTAGTGAGCAGGCTTCGGGCTCGCTGACCTAACCGGTCTTTCAGGATTTTGAGTGCTCTTCGGTGGCCTTCGGCGTGTTGGCTCCTTCCTCAGCATCGTCTCCTGCCCGCGGCATCGAACTGATTTAAGTCAGCGGACAAGTTAAGGCTAGTGGTTTTACTCGACTTGCAGCTGTCAACTTCTGTTGAGACCGTTTGGCAGAGCCAGCAACACCTGCTAAGCTCATGGTGAAACAAGTCACACATGTGTCCTTTGGAGAGAGTGGGAAGTTCAGAAGTCTGCCACCTGCAAGCACCACAGTTTGTTGCACGATCCCCTGTCTGCAGCATGGCTTTCACTTGTCGTCTTGTCCAGATGATCTCTGGAGCGGATAGCAGTCGCGGCCGTTTCAGAGTGTGGCATCCCGCCTAACGTAAGCCCTGGGGTCAAAGTCCTTGAGGGTGATGTGCGTCCTTTCAAGGCTTAGACGGCATCTCCCTACGTGGCGCATGGCTTCAACTCAGCCCCCGGCGCCCCCGGCATACTTATGAACATTTTGAGCAACCTCAACGACACGTCACAAGGCTTAGATGACCTGAAACGTCGCAGTCTGGGTCTTGATTGTAGCTCAGGCTACTGCTGTCTGGCATCCATTTCCAGACCTCAGCTGGAAACTTCCAGCATCTTAAAGTCTTGGCTTCGCTTGATGTGCGTTTCAGACTACGAGCTGTGTCAATTCGCGGCGTTGTGTCATGGCTGAGAAGACTTTCCCCGCTGCATGGCAGCAATTTTGGCACACTTTGTCCAGAAGATGCTTTTCCTTGATGCGAAGTAGGCCGCCTCGCTCCTGTGTTCGCCTTTCACTCGAAGGCCTTAAGGCGCCGACCAAGCTCCCGGAGGCTGTCTGCAATCTCACTCTCGGACACTTTGCCTGCAGACTCGCTTTGGGAGCTGAGCTGCTCTGCGGGAGGAGGTCGTGTTTTCCCTCCTTCAAGGAAGGTTCGACCCCATGCCTGCGCCATTCACGTCGATGCAGTCTTGCCACGCGACCAACATGTCTCCGTACCTGGCACAAGGCGGGTCAGTGACAGTGCTTCGCTTGGCAAAATCGGAAAGGGCACCTTTGCATGAGTGCGATTTTGAAAGAGCTAACCATGTTCCAGACCTGTCCCAACACTCTTCTGTCGCTTGTCTGAGCCACAACACAGTGGAGCTGAATGGAGCAGGTACGAGGCCGCTGCATCCGGATCAACGTCCTGGGCCAGACAGTGGCAACCCGTGCAGAAAAAAGAGAAGCTAGCGCCATCTCTGTGACAAATCGGGACTGCAGTGGGTTGGGGGTCTTGGGGGAAGATTGATCGGCCCGGATTCGGCTAGGGTGACGAAGCCCTTGCTGGTCACGTCGAGCTCCGTCCAGAGCCTTGCCAGCACAGCATTCCCAAAGTGTGCTCAGACGCTGATCGCACAGAGACCCTTCGTCTTGGAGCCCAGCTTCTTCACGTTGCCATGGTAGCCCCATTTCCGCGCTGCCTTGCAAAACCTTGCATGGGTACTTCCCTGATGTCACAGTGGTGTCACGGCTCCTTCGCCAGGGAGCGGATGGAAGGACAGGCGCCCTTTCTTGTCCGAGTCGAGCAGGCGCCATCCAGCCTTTGTAGGATCACACAAAGTCGCGCCAACCGCTCAGCCGCTCAGCGCAGCCAAGCAGCTAAGATGGAGCCAAAGCGCGATTTCAAGTGGGCCGCAAAGCCAGGAATGCCCTCTCCACAAACTGGTTCTAGGCCCTACATATAGGCACCAAGAGTAATTACACAGCCATACGCAGCCGCACACCTGGGCACCCCAGAAGCTGCAGTCTTCCAGGTCGCGCGTCTCCTTGATCAGCGCCTTCAAAGCGGCGACCCGCAGAACCGCAGGGAAGCGCAGGCTCAGGCTGAGAGAGAGAGAGAGGGAGAGAGAGAGAGAGAGAGAAAGAGAGAGAGAGAGAGAGAGAGAGCAACTCTTGGAAGCCAAAGCCAGGAAGGCCTTCCTCTGCTGCGCGAGGTTTCGACCTGAAAGGGTCCCAAAGAAGAGAGACACGGCTGCAACGCAGCTATCGGCTTTTCATCATCCCAAGATGAAACAGATGATCAGCCGCTGACGGGCAGCAATCGTTGGATGGCCCATCTGGCGCGGAAGGAATGAGCCCTTCACGGTTGCGGGCAACGTCCTTTCGAGCAGGAATTCTCAGTTAGGGCAATTGCGGCTGCCGCTGCTCAGAACTGTTTGCTCTGTCAGCCACAGCGATGGATCTCAACGGCTCCTGGACAGACTGCTCACGGAGGGCTCACTGGTCGACTTGGCGAGACCTGCGAAGCAAAATCACGGGCAGGGTCCCGAGAGCAGGGATCAAGTGACAAGGCCCCCAGCCGAAGTTGGGCTGAGTCTTCCGCATGGACGGACTAACTGGTGGCCTCTGGGCTCGGGCACTGTCACCAGGGGCGCAGAGAGCTCATCGCAACTTGGGGCTCAGCAGCATCCCAGCGCTGGGACTAGGGCTCGGCCGCCCCTTCTCATACGGTGCAGAAGCGGAAGTGTGGCTACGGCAAAACTCGGCCGCCGCGGCCTTCATCGCTGGTTCAGGGCATGGTGACAAGAGCCGAGCAAAGCACTACAGTCAACCAGCGGTACGGTGGTGTGGTGCTGGGTTCGTGCTTCATCGCAGGGCTGGGGGCCCTTGCAGAGCCGGTCCGGGTATGAGCGTCGATGAGCTTAGCATCCACGGCCGAGTTGGCTTCTGGAGTCTCAGGGGCTTTTCTAGAAAAACCTAGTAGAGGGGCCGAGGAGATCTGTTGCGAGATGCATGGCCCCTTCGAACTCACTAGGCCCAAGAAGGTGAGACGAGTCGCTCAAAGCGAGCTGTGAGCAAGAAGGTCAGGGAAGCAGATGTGCTCAAGGTGGTGAAACAAGCTCTGCAAGGCTTGGCATGGCCGACACTCCCTGTCCTCCCTTTTCTGCAGAATCTCACACGATGCCGGAAAAGTACAGCTCGGCCCCCTGCCCGAACGTGATCACGCAAGCTTCCACAGAGCAGAACAGCTCTCGATCCCGTCTTAGTTGCGGTGACTTGAAACGCAGCGGCGGGAAGGCCTCGACGGCAAGGCAGCCGAGAAGAAGCGTCAGCAGCACCAAGCTGCCCAGGGCCATCAGCACCGGGTACTCAAGGTGGCTTTGAAACCTGCGGAGCCGATCTGCAATTTGCCCGAACAATTGCGAAAACTGAGGTACCGGCCATGCGTGGTCCACGAGCCCAGGTGACGGAATGGAAAGCCACACATCCTGTTGTCACAGCCGGAAAACGTAGTTGGCCTCTGCCGGCTGGGAGATGACTTGAGCAGAGCTCTTTTTTGTTGGCTACGTGCGGGAAGCGCCGCAATGCACTGTTTCCCAGATGATTCGGGACAAAATGATGCACACCGAGGCTCTCTGAATCCTGAAACCCCGATTGCAAAACAAGACCATGCAGGGCTACAGGTCCTCACCGCGCTCGTCACGGGAGCTGTAGTAGCAGGTGGCCTCGCCAGTGCATTCTTCTGCATGGAGACACAAGAGACTAACAACCATTCCATGCTGATCATGACACTCAAACTCCACGGAACTGAAAAGTGCAGGCATGCACAGACGAACCTTTTGTGATGGTGGCAAACTGTCCCGAGCTCAGCTTGATGCACTCTCAAGTTGGACAATGCTTCACAGGAAAGCCGCCAAGCGCCAAGGAGCTAGCCCTTCTCTTGGACTTCCGGATGGGAGAGGTGGGAAAAGCGAAAATTCGAATCGCTCTCGGACATTCAGGCGTGTGCAGCTCCTCGGAACCGGGCGGTTCTGGTTGCGAAGGCTTGTTACAGCGAACAAACGGGCTCTACAGTTCCACACCGCAGAATGTGGAACATGATCTTCGTCGTCGTCTCTGCCCCGTCGTCGCCACAAGAGCCAGAATGGTAGCAAAAGTAACATGAGTTGCCTATATCCAGCTATATCATGTCGATACTCCTCTACTACTCAAGAAATTTCGAGTAACATGAAAGTTGTGGAGCCCGACATACTCGATTCATTTGTGCGCCGACAGTCGAGTCCTGCGCGACCTAGACCGAAGGTTGACGCAGCTACAGTGGCCAGGATTTACCCGCAATATCTGCCAGCCAGCTCCGCTACAAAATCGCTGGAAGGTGGCCTTGTCCGCCTGAAGCATCTGCTCCTGGAGGTGCGACAGCACCTGACATGAAGGGCTACCGGGCTACCGCCCTGCCTGTCTGAGGCAGAGGCCTTCTGGTACGCTGAGATGCAGACGTCTGCAGTGGTGCAGGGCACCGGGCCGCCGGGTGGCTGCCTGGCTCGCTGGCTCTTCAGATCCAGCGCAAACTGGTCCAAGAACCTCGGCGCACGCTTGCGCACGCTTTGCGACCTCTCGGCGGCCGAAATCGCAAGTCGCTGAGCTCGTCACCCCAACTGTGGAAGGCACGGGTCCTCAGCACAAGTATAGGACATCGAATGGGAGCAATCGCTCCAGAAACTCACTACGGCCTCGGACATTCGATTCTTGCAGTACCTGGGAGCTGCGCAGGTCTCGTCTGATCTTTCAGGCTCGGGGTAAATCCATCCGCTCCAAGGTGGACCACTCTGCATCTTTAGCGTCAATGAAGGCTCAAGCCGTCAGGCATGAATAAAGAAGCCCCGGCTCAAGAGACGTGCATGAATTACGACTTTACACAGCCGCTTCGAGCTTGCTGGGCACCTTCTGTTCTCTACATTTCTACAGAAGGATCACTGAACCAGCCCTTTCGGACTGTGGGTCACATAAAACGAACAATCCTACACCGCATCGCTCATTTGGCGCGCAGACCTTCGGCAACTGAATTGCTTTGCGCTTTGCTGCGCCGCGGCAACCAATAAGGCATCTTCAGTTGTCTCTTTGCAACTGTAAAACCGGGTGAGATGAGCTTTTCTGTACAAACTTTCTCTGTGCCAGCCACAGGCTCACTGTGCTTGCTGTGCTTGCAGCACGGCCACCACCTTTGTACACGAAGGCAATTGCAGCTCCCTCTGGCTTCCGATTTGGGGGTTTCCCATAATAGGGGAGCCTAATGTAGTAACCTGAATAGGACCCAAAAAAAGTACCCCTAATTTTCGGCAACTCCCATTTTCACTTCGTGCAAGTGAACGGCCTCAGCGTGTGATTCACGTCGATTTAGCCACTTCGCCAGCCCCATCGGGGTCTGCCTGAAGAGTCTCAGCTTTGCAGTGCTTGCTTTTGCTGTTGAAACAAGCATGGGCCCGGAGTTTCCCTGCAACCGGCGCACCCGAAGGTATTGCACTTGGTGGCATCAGCTCCCATCCAGAGGAGAAGCCTGACCGTGGCCAGATCAAGAGCCCTTCCCATAAGAAACGCTGGCTCTGCTATTTCTCATCGCCTAACCATCTCCGGGTCGTTGCATTGCACGGCCCGATGCAGCGGATAGGAGGCCACCTACCAGAACTCAAAGCTCTCTCTGGGATTCTTGGGGGGTGCTTCCTTCGCGGGCATGTTGAGGCCGCCGCAGGAGACCACTTGTGTGCTGCGCGCACGTGTCGGTATCCTTCAGCAGAGGAGAGGCTGAAAGTCTCCGAAGCATCGAAGCTTTTTTTTCTTTCGAGACGCCTTCAGCCGCCAGGAAGGCCTTCGCCTTTTCCCGGAGCTCTCTTTCTCGCTTGGCCTGGCAACCGATAGACCGATAGGATAGGGTGTCTCTTCTTTGTTGCGGGGTCCCGCTTTCACTTGGCAGATTTTGGCGCCTCTGCAGCAGATGCTCGCGCCTTCTGCTCCATTTCCTCCCGCGACATGAGCTCAAGAAAGGAGGAGCTCGAGGGGAGGCTGGCATAGGCCGGCAGCCTGGAGCTGTCTGCGCTTCTCAGCTTGTCGCCGCTGCTCCTGCGAATCGAAATCTGAAAGCCCGACCTTCGACACCCTCAACTCTGAGTCACCCTCTGTGCTCCTCAACTCTCTCTTCTGCAAGCCGTGCTTCCTCCTCTGCTCGCCTGCCGACGGTAGGCTGCGATGACCGGGAAAACGAAGAAGCAACGTCTGAACTCTTGCGTTGGGAATATCGCTCTTTCTGCCGGATACCTTGCTCAAGCATGCTGTTTTCCATCGCAGCATTCCACGATCTCCCACAATCCCTGGTCTTCGCAGTTGTCGCATCGCGCCATGCTCTAGTATCGCGTATTTTTGCCACTTGGGGAGTTCAGTTGGCCAATGCGTGCGAATGAAGCTGAGGATGGGGCTTCAGGGCTTAGGGAAGCGCCTGATTTCGGGCAGAGAGGAAGGCTTCGGAAAACCTGCCTCTACGGCAGTGGCAGCCCGGAGTGGCAAGAACCATGACACCATGCTAACCGTGATCATGCTGCACTATCGAACACCTGCGCGAGGAAGACGACATTGCTTTGGGACGATGTCTAGGCCTAGGCCGTTTAGGCCCAGTGTCAGAAACGAGAAAGCCTGTTTTCCTGGCCATGCCAGCTTAACATCTTACTTCTACTTGGAGTTTCTTGCAATCAGATGCGACTTCGAGTTCGCAGCCAGCACATCCCTCCCTCCATACAACTCAGGCCTTCTATGTTTGGCTCCAGGGGCTGATGGCCCACCTAAAAGACGGCAGCTCTGCTGGCCTCCTTGCAGCCAGCAGCTCCTCCTCCAAACGGCGCTCCTCCTCCCGGCGAATCGCCATGTCCGCCTCCTCGTCGTTGGGACACAGAGTTGCAACAAAAAGAAGGCAGTCTTGCAAGATCACAGTCTCGGCATGGCGGAACTGGTTATGAGCGATCTACCCGACCAAATTCTTCCCCAAGTCAACAGTATCTGTAAACCACTTGAAGACAAGAGCGGGCTATCCCAGTCCTCCTGTCTTCTACGTCGCTCGTCTTCCAAGCGCTGCTTTTCAGCCTCTGGAGTTCGCAACTGACAAAACTACCCTGACCCTGCTGTTTACCTAATTTTAGGTGGCGAGCAATTTACTAAACAAAGCTTGGTTTACACTTCAAATTTACGAAAAAATTTACGTAAAAAAAAGTGTAAATTAATTTACTTTGTATAGTAAAAAATTTACACTGCAATGTAAATTTTTTTACACTGCAAAATACATGTTTTTAGGTTACACATTCCCGAATTTGAAGAAGTGAAATGCAAGCTAATTTTGGTTGGTTTTGTTTCTTTTATCATGTTTCTGCTTGTTGATTGCATGAGATTTTCCTGCGACTGTACAGTGCGGCATGGTCAGGTGTGAAGATAAAATTATGAGAATTGTGTTGCAAGCATACTTGTTAAGCCATGGTTTTCCATGTTGAAATCGCAGCTCCGTTTGATTCTGTGCTGGGTCGAGCCGGCGGATTGCTTGCGATGTGTGCTTTTTACATGCGAGAAATCGGTACATGTACATTTGCGAGAGTCATCACAATATAGTTTATACCTGCGAGGAGTCCACCTTTACCTGTGCGAGACTCTTGTAT